GTGTGTCTATTAAAACGTGAATAGAAGCTCTATTTAGGGAAAGATACTTGTGCTCATTTATTTTATTGATAGTGTACAGATTGTGATATATTGCATTACAATACTGACTGCTAGATTTCTTAGAAAGGTTTACTTTAGATTTACTGTAGATTTTTTTCTTCACAATAAAAATAAACTCATGCCCGTGTTCAGTAACCAATAATATCAATTCATTCAAATTTAATGACAGTTTTATTAAACTAAGAATCTCATGTCACAGAGCATTCACAGTGCAGGAGGTCACAGTTATTGAAAAAATAAATAGGGGGATAAATATACTCATTATTTACAACTTTTCAACTCGATGATCCTGCTTTGCCCGTTAGAGAGAGAATGAACAAAGATGGTGGTGTTCAGCTCAGCGTGCCAGAACGATCCTGGGGGGACTCGAACAACGTGTGAACAGCCCCAGAAGTTCTTGGTTTTAGTTGTTTTTAAGGGGGTTCTTTCAGGACACAAGAGTCCTCTGATTCCATCTACCTGCTATTTGGTAGGTTCTCTCAGAAACCACGCCCAGCCTGCATCCCCGTGGGCATTGTGGATCCACCTGGCCTCTCCTGACTCGGCCCCTTCCTTAGCAACTCCTGCATCCACCCATGGGTCTGGCTGCATCTGGCTGACAGCCTTTTTCCTCTCTAGGTAATCAAAGCTCTCTTTGTGCTCAGACACCAGCAACTACTCCCTGCTGGCGGCTGCTGGGCAGGAGACACAGGCAGAGGCGCCCTGCCAGGGAGTGTCTACTCTGAAATGGAGACTCAGCCTCACAGACCAGCAACCCCCACTGTGGAGCTCCCCAAGAGTTGGCCACAGTGGCTCAGCCACAGTTCTGTCCGCAGGGTCTCCAGGTCCCTCAGGTCCAAGCCTTGTGCAGGAAGCTCAAGGAAGCAGACAGTGTGGTCATGGGGTCTGCAGCTTAGAGGGCAGGGATGAAAGGTGAGGGTGGAGATGCCCAGTGCCCAGAAAAAAATCACAAGAACAACTTATTTGGAAAAACAGAGCTGCCTTGTTCGCACTCCAGTCATTTTTCGGGAGGGGGAAGTCCTCTCTTCTTCCATTGAAAGAGGACTGCGTGTCTGTCCTGAACGGACTTGAGAAATTCTGTGTAGAGAATTCTGGAGTGACCGCAAAGAAGGCTCTGTTGTTTGGGACATTCCCTTTAGGCACAAAGGCAGATCACACCAAACCATGCATCTAGAAACCAAAAGCTGCACATTCCCTCTCTTGATAGCTTAAAACATTTGTTTTCCAGTGATGGGGTGATGAGGGTACTGACTCTCTGCAGGATTAAGAATTTTATTGGCCTGGTCCATGGACGAGTCCCAACCAACATATTGCATAAGAAGTAACCTCTTGGGCCAGGTACAGTGGCTCACACTTGTAATCCAGCACTTTGGGAGGTCAAGGCAGGAGGATCACTTGAGGCCAGGAGTTCAAGACCTACCTGGGCAACACAGTGAGATCCTGTCTCTAAAAAAAAAATGAAAACAAATTAGCTGGGTGTAGTGGCATGTGCCTGTAATCCTATCTACTTTTCAGGCCAAGGCAGGAGGATCACTTGAGCCTAGGAGTTTGAGGCTTTTGTGAGCTGTGATCGAGCCACTGCACTCCAGCCTGGGCAACAGAGTGAGATCCTTTCTCAAAAAGAAAAAGAAAAAAAAAAAAAAAAGCAACTGTTTGAATTCTAGCGACAGTGGGAATAGGTGTGGCTTAAGCCAGCATTTGTCACTGGAGTTATAACTAACGAACAGCCAGTTCTCAGACCTGTAAATCCAAGGGATAGAAAAGCCACACAGCCAAGGGCTTGACTTTCCCATAGGCACAGTGTGGATTTTCAGCTCTCAGAGATGCCACCCATGGCCCTCAAATCCTGGTACCAGGGTATCCTGGCAGCAGACATGTTCCTAGACTTGATGAGAGTATATTGTCAGCCCTGTTAAGAAGTGGGAGGAAGATTCACAACTTGGACAGCTGGACACTGACACCGTGAGACTGAATAAAGAGCCTTAGAAACATGCAGGCGAAAGACGACCCATGCCCCTGGCAGTGTGTGCTTGGGAATGTTTCAGGATTTAATGGAGACAATGGCACCTGGGAGCCATTTGCCATTGAAAAGTTAGGAGTTTTAAAACCCCCATCAAATAACCAAAGCCCTAAAACCTCTCAGCTGGCTTCCCTGGAAAGATGGCGCCACCCTGGTCACAGAATGGGAGGGAAGTGCCTCTTCTCTTGATTCTGGACGAGCACCCATTTCTTTGCATTGGGAGCACAGTGACAGGCTGGACATCCTCTCATTAGCTACCCAGCCTAAAGCTGAGCACAAAACTAGTGTCCCAATTTGGTTTTCTTTATCAACAAACAAATACAGCAACCTAAATCAAAATGCTTTTTTTTGGCCAGGTGCAGTGGTTCATGCCTGTAATCTCAGCACTCTGGGAGGCCGAGACGGGTGGATCACTTGAGGTCAGGAGTTTGAAAACAGCCTGGCCAACATGGTGGAACTCCTTCTCTACTAAAAATCCAAAAATTAGGTGGGCGTGGCAGCGCATGCCTGTAGTCCCCGTTACTGGGGAAGCTGAGGTGGGAGAATCACTTGAACCTGGGAGGTGGAGGTTGCAACGAGCCAAGATGGCACCACTGCACTCCAGCCTAGGCGACACAGTGAGACTCTGTCTCAAAAAAAAAAAGGCCTTTTTAGAACCTGTACCCTGTGGATATGCCCTTTGGGGAACAGCTCTTTGCAGCAAGGCGAAGGTTCCCCCTACACAAGCCAGGCTGGCAAAGGTTGTGGCTCAAAGTGAACAGCAGAATCCCGTGTTCTCTGTCCTGTGGCACAGGCCTAGAGAAAGACCCCCTCACTCCTGTTCCCATATAACTGACACAGTGGGGAAGATTTTCCCGAAGGACAGGAAGGGCCCCTCTCCATGCTTTGAGAAGCCCCGAGGGAGGCTTCATGCTTGAAGGGCTCACAGGATGAGCTCCAGAGACCAGGAAATCCTTTGGGCGCACACACATAAAGAGAGAGCAAGGGCAGTGCTTCAGGCCCAGGGTTAGGTAGGGGTTGACGGACTTACTGCCACCCAAGCATTTTCAGAAATTTCTAGAAGTTTCTATGGGCACGGTGTGGCACCAAAGCTGCGGAGAGGAGGACCACCTCAGGTGCCCCAGGTGCTCCTGCTAACTGCCCCCAGGGGAGGATGGCTCCCTGGAAATCACATCTGGAGGGCATTAGAGAGACCATAAATATGTAAAGCATGGCATTTGGGTACAATCTTCTGAGGATTTTCACTCTGACAAGTAAGTTCTTTATTTGAGCCACACGCATTTGCTGAGAGTGGATCACAGGGACAGCACAGCCACCTTTTTCTAGCCAGGAAGGAGCATGGCCCAGAAGGGAAGGAAAGACGGGAATGCGAGACAAAAGACCAACCCCTCCCGCAAGGACCCATTCACCCAGGGCAAGGTCTCTGCTTCTCAACTGCTGAATTCCAGGGGGAAAGTTCCAAAGTGTGGCAACAGAACCTTTCCAGTTCCAGTTTCCTAAGCCCAACTCGCCTGTCTCCTATGGAGGGAAGGCACGGAAGGCAGCCTCAGCCGCTGGCACTGGGATTCATTCGCTCTTGCTTTTTCCCAGGGGGGATGAACTCTGATCCTCTTCTGTCCCTCTGTCCACCCCAGCTTTAAGGAGGAGGAGGGGCCCCAGGATTCAGAGAGGAGAAAGGATAGGCAGAAAGACAGGTATCCAGCAATGACACCACCCACACCCTTCCCGAAATCCTGGTCTGCTTGGGGAGTCGGGGTTCTCTGAGAGGTGAGCTACTGCTGATGCAACTAGGCTTGCAAATCTCCATTAACAGGGAAGAGCAAGTGGAAGAAATCTGGACCCTGGGCTGCCCAGGAACGGGCTTTGGTCAGGGTCTGCAGGACTGCCCTGGGGTGATACACACACCCCACCTGGTCAGGGAAGCTTGGTGCCTTATCAGCTGCTTGGGTCTGTCAAGGCAGGGGACCGACAGGGGCAAAGCAAGAAACAGTCCTAACAGGTGAGGGGTAAGGAGCAGATGAAAATTCACAAGGGCAGGCTGGGCGCAGTGGCTTACACCTGTAATCCCAGCACTTTGGGAAACTGAGGCATCAGTGGATCACCTGAGGTCAGGAGTTCGAGACTAGCCTGGCCAACATGGTAAAACCCTGTCTCTACTAAAAATACAAAAATTATCTGGGTGTGGTGGCACACACCTGTAATCCCAGCTACAGCCTCGGGAGGCTGAGGCACGAGAATCACTTGAACCCGGGAGGCAGAGGTTGCAGGGAGCCAAGATGGTGCCACTGCACTCCAGCCTGGGCAACAGAGTGAGACGCTGTCTCAAAAAAAAAAAAAAAAAGAAAAGAAAAGAAAGAAAAGAAAAAGAGAAAATTCATAAGGGCAGCCAGTTCTGTGCATAAGGAGGAGACACAGGTGACAAGGAGAAGAGGCACAAGGGCCAGCAGACTGTGGGTAACAGGAAAGATGGGGTGGGTAAGGCGAGGACTCTGTCCTGCCCACGGTGCCCTTAATTACCAGTCTCTCAATGCAGCTGACCCAGAACCCTCCTCCAGGGCCAGGCTCTCAAGATACTGGACATCTTCCACTCTAACCACGCTTGACCTGGTGAGTCAAAATTCCAAACCAGAAGTCCACAGGAACCAACTGCTCCTGTCTCTATAGGCATTTTCCATCTGAGTATAATTTTTTTTTCTTTTCTGCCCCCAATGAGAAGAGCGAAATTCATTTTTTTAAATTGCCTATTTCTGTAGCAGAGTAATTACCCCATGCTAATGAGCTTTGGGAATAAACTAAAGTAATCCTGCGTAGTGATGAAAGCGTAATTTAAAAATGAAGGCCTAATTAATCATGCAATTCTTTAAACTTGTGATGCAAAAATATTTAGTTAAAAAAGAGAATTTTCCACCTACAGTGTACATATAGTTTTCTAGATTTAATAAATGCATAGATCCTTTAAAGGAAGTTACATTGGCACATTAAAGTCAAAAGAAAATTAGCCAAGAGGAGCATATTACATATTAAAAAACATTATTTTAGTTTCTAACTGCAACTTTAGAGACTAGGCGTATCCATTTAGAATCTCAAATGGGTTCTGCTGAGGAAGAGGAGGGTAATTAGGATACACATGCCCTGAAAGCTACACAAGGCTTCAGAGAATTGAAAACCAGCAGGGACGCCATCAGGGGCCACGTGGCCTGTGCCTTGTTATAGCTAAAAATAATTTTTTGGTCTTTTTTTCAAGAAAAAATAGAGGCATTGGATAGGGACAGATATTAGGAAATGACCTAAGGAACCCAGGAGTCAATGATATATTGATGAGGTTTTGACTCAAACAGTAAGAACCAACCAGGAGGGTAAAGTCATACCCACATTCACTCCCCAAGTGTGGCCAACTTACAGAGGCTGGCCTGGGAGGGGTGATGGACTGGTGCTTGGCCTCTCTTCTGCTATAACTGGCCATTGAACTACAGACCCTTGACCTCTCCAAGACACTACTTTCTGTTAAGTGGGGAGAATAATCCCTACGAACATCACAGGGCAGTTTGGAGAATCAAAACAGAGACAGAAGCTCTTTGGAACCCGGATGAGCCTGTAAGATGGAGGAACCAGGAGAACTAAGCTATTAAGGGGACTGAGTGGTCCCGAGGGCTCTGGCATCCCTGCAGCTAAAGTTGATACTGGTGAATCTACAGGGTCCCTGCCTTCCCACTTGGCTGATTTCTTAGGAAAATCACCCTTGTCCTCAAGTTGAAGACCATGAGCCCAATTTCTAGGTTAAAAAAAAAAACAAAAAGAGAAGCCTGAACTTGGTGGAGCTACGATACTAATACTGATGTGAATCCCAAATAGAAGACTGGTGGTGGGGGTGAGGTCCTGTCGCAGGCTCATGCAACAGGGAACTTAAGGGACACAAGCACGAACACTTCCTCCTTTTGAAACTCGGAGGCCCTAAAGAGCACAGTCAGAAATTCCAACCAGGTCACGATCTTTGAGTCTCAGGAAGGGATTAGCTACTGGATTTAAACTCATCACCAAGTTTAAAGCGATGTCTGGTGAATCACAAAAAAATGTTCTTTCCTCTTACATCATCATGGGTAGTTCCCATACATTCATCCGTGCAAAATATCTCAATATTCAAAGTGCATCAAATTGGATAGACTTTTGCAATAGAAATATTAAAAAAATAAAAAACCTCTCTATAAAATTAATTGTGCTTTCTTTTTTAGAAACCATAAACCATAAATGGTTTGTAGTCATAAATCTTTTAAATATATATTTGAGAGCTATGAAGTGATCGAAAATTATTTTATATTTTTCTATCTAATTTTGAGTCAGCCTCCCATTCTTGGCCTTTCACGTATAGTAAACTACGTGGTTCCAGAAGCTTAGCTCTAAATATTCTAAATTCTGATTTTCACACTTGCCTTCAGCTAACCAGAAAGCAATTTGTTGTTTTCCAGGCAATCTCTCTTGCATAATTAACCAGCACTTTTGACACACTCAGTCCAGTTCAGCAGGCTATGAAATTTGTTGGGCATATAAACAACTGGACCTTTCAACAGGGTGGTTTTGAAACTACAGCATTAACAAATAAATGACAAACCCACAAGGACAGTGCATTGTGTCACATAGAAGATCTGGAAAGTACAGCTGTAAACTATAATCTCCAGTCTCTGAGTTAGCACCTTTCCACATTAGTCTCTTACCTTTTTCCCTATTCCAAACCAAACACCTCAGTGCCAACGCAAGATGGCGCACAGAGGATTTGTGTCTCTACGATCATTACCTTTTTGGTGTGTATCATGATCCTTTCATATGGAATGATAGTTTTCAAGTATGATGACCTATATGATATTTCATTGTTTAATATTTCATTGCTTATTCTCTGAATGCATCAATAAAAGTGAGAAGAATATTCACTCATTTTCTCTCTTCTGCAGAAAAAAAATTATTTTCATTCTTCCAGTTTTTCCAGGAAAAGGGGTAGAATGTCTGCCATCATGGGCCCTAAACCCCAACAGGTTGAGGTCTTGCCCCTTCCAAACTATGGGTGCTTCCAGCAAAAGTTGGAGGCTCCCAGGAGCACATGCTGCCTAAGGAACCGCCTCTGGGCCGGAGGTGACACCCAAGAACAACATTCCTATTTTGCACCTGCCCTATGTGATCTCGTGCTCGCAAATGACCTCATTTCCGAGGCTGCCTGCAGAACAGAAAGACAAACTGCATGCAGAAGTCCTTCTGACTAAAGTGTGCAGGAGAGATGAGATGCTCGACACATCTCCGTGGTTGGCAGCTAGGGATCTTCGAAGCTGCTCAGATAATGGCCCCTGAATCCAGCCTTGCAGGGGTGGAACTCCAAGGAGGAGGACGCCCAGCAGCCTGGCCTGTGACCAGACAAATACCACGATGACTCTTCCTTCCAGTGTGTGAAAGAACGGACAGTGGCTGCCTATGCAGGAGAGACCTGTGGTAGGGGAAGGAGGGGAGAGGAGGACGCCAGTGTCACAGGGTGTCCAGATCAGCTCCCAGGGGCCGCGACTCAGCACTAATCGTCTTCCCGGCACATCGGCAAGTTGACGAAGGTAAAGACGTTAAACTCTATCATTATGGAGAAGCACAAGAAGATGGCGTAGAGAACCAGCACGTAGACGCCCAGCTTCCGGTCCAGTTGCCACTTGTTTAGGTGGATGCCAAGGACCTGGGAGGACAGAGTGCAGGAACTGGGCTTGCAGGGCAAAGAAATACAAAAGGCATTTCTACTGGAAAGCAATACCTAAACGAAGAAGCCTAGAACATTCTGCAGAATGTGGGCAAGCGTGGGGGGGGGGTGTGCTGCAGGACGATCCTCAGTTTGACCAGAATAAGCCCTAGAATGCTTTGACTTGCCCCACGAAAGGGCGAGTCTCTGGCCTGGCCGCATTGACTCAGGGACACACAGCAGCCGCCCTCGTGGGACCGGCCCTCCCCAGGCAGGCACATCACTTCCTCCCAGCTGGTCATAGGCGTGTGGTCCTCCTTGCCCAGGCCTTCTCTAGAGACAAACGGGGGCTTTAGCTGGATGACCCCTGTGCTTCAGAGCATGGCACCACGGTCTTTTCCCTTGTCTTCTTAGCACAATTTCCAAGGCTCCTATGGACCCCTGGCTAGGCAAATGTCTGCTTGAGCCATCTTTCTCTTTGCGTGTGCGCGCGCGCGTGTGTGTGTGTGTGTGTGTGCGTGTGTGTGTGTGTGTTTGGGGTAGAGGGTTAAAGCAGAGAATTATCTTACATTTCTCCTTGACCCTTCTACCCTTCCTTCCACTGCCTTCCTCCTTGTCCCTCAATCAAGGCTTCCTAGGGCTGGATCCCAGGACCTCACTGGAGCATTGCAGGTAAAAAGTCATGAGTTCCCTAAGGACAGACCAACCTAAGTTCAAATCCTAGCTTTGCCATTGCCCAATTCTGTGACCTTGGGAAAGTTAACCCCTGGGCCCCGATTTCTTCTGCAGTGGGAATAACAGCACCTCCCTCACTGGATGGTTGTAAGGATACAATAAAGTGATGCTGAGGTCAAGTGCTCAGCACAGACCTGGGCACATGGGGTAGGGAGGCCTCGATAATTCTGATGTGCTATCCTGAGGGATGTCATGTCTCCCATTTGTCAGCTCAGATGTGCAGGGGAGGATCTCTCTCCTACTGGCACTAGAGAGGGACTGGACCAGGCAGCAAGAAAGCAAATGGAATTCGCTTCCTCTGGGGACTTCTTATGTACTCAGGAAAAGCACAGGAAGGGTGCCGATGATCTTGGCAAAGACTGGACTTGGCGTGTCTATGAATGTCTATGTTTTCTTGCCTTTATCTTTCATTACCAAGGGAAGTGACAGGGGTGTTCAGAGTCACGTAAGTGACGAGGCGGAATCAGATGAAATCAAGTATGCATGAGGTATCTGTTTTGGAATTTTAAAGACTCACAGTGAGAGCGACAGAGCCCAGCAACAGGACCACGGAATAGACCAGCCCCCGGCTGTTGATCTTCACCTGGAAAATCAAACACACGTGTCCTGAGTCTCTTGACTGCTCAGAGCCAATCTATCCTGAAATCCCAGCGGGCCTGGGCTTTGATTGCCTGGGCCAATGCATTCCCTCGTCAGGAAAACACAGATGTTTACAGGTGACCACATGGTCATAGAGGGTCAGGGAAATATGGAATCAAGTCACAACCCTGCTCATCTGAGGAGACAGCCTGGGATGGGGACAGGCACGCCAGTGGGCTGAGATGAGGAGTGGAAGTTCAGACATCCCTAAGGTGCTCTAGAAGCTGCCATGGAAAATGGGTGTCTGAGTGCCAAGGAGAAGAGGAGGTCGTCTCCCAGAGCCTCTGGCTGGAACTGGGCCAACACCACTAGCCTTCTGGGTAAAACACATCGGTTCAAGGTGAGAGGAACTTACTGTTGATCCGTAATTAACAACCATGGTCTGCAGGCCCCACGGTACGCCAAGTCCTACCAGGATGTCGAACACATTGCTTCCTATGGTGTTGGAGACTGCCATGTCCCCAAGGCCTGCAGGGGACAACAACACATTTATTTTATAAGAGCAGGTCAGCAGAAGCCTGTATTCTTTCTCCTAACTGTTCGATCAGTGCCATTCCTTGGAAAGGAATTCCTTCTGCAAGGACCTTACATTTCTAAACCTTTTCGTAAGGCCTAAGATCCATGCCCTTCCTCAAGCCTAAAGGGGACAATTATGGGTTGACCGTAACCCTCCAAATTCATATGTTGAAGTTCTAACCCTCAGTACCTAAGAATGTGGCTTTATTTGGAGATCGGGTCTTTATAGAGGTAACAGGTTAAAATTAGGTCTTTAGGGTCTTAATCCAATACGACTGGTGTCCTTATAAAAAGGAGAAATTTGGACACACAGGGAGAACCTCGGCAAAGATGAAGACAGTCAAGGACAGAGAGGCAAGAGGGGCCTGGAACAGATTCTCCTTCAGGCTTCTGGCCTCCGGAACCGCAAGACAATACACTTCCGTTGTGTACTGCACCCGGTTTGTGGGAACGACAGCCTAGCAGATGCATGCGGGGCGCTTTATGATCTCTCCTGCCGGGCTCATCAGCTGATGTTCTCTGAGGACTCCCGGCTGCTGTGTCTCACTTCATGCTCCCAGCTACCCTGGGCTGGAGGTCAGAGTGGGGCATCACCTCACGTGACAGAAGATGAAACAGGCTTGGGATGTGCCCAAGGTCACCCGGTCCAGCATCCTTTTTACCAAGCCTTGAAACATATTTGGGACCCAGGCAACAGCACCCACGACCCAGGCTGGGATCATAGGATGTCGGATTTTATGCCCTGGTAGTTTCTGAGGGGTGAGCTCTCTTTCCCCAACAAGGCTAGAAGCACATCAGAGGCAGGGGCTCATGTCCTCATCCTTCCCCTTCCTGTCCAACTGTCCAGTGTCCAGCTAGCCACACAATCAGGAAGTTAGTAACTGGAGAGGCATATAATTAAGAAAGCAAACTTTTATAAGTAAGATTCATACTGGCTGGAATCTGCCCTAACCCCGCCATTAAGCCATACTTCCACACCACTGTCCCAACCTGGCACACATACGCATGTTTTTGGAATGAACAAACCTGAAACACAAATGCCTAGAACCACAACATTGCTTTGGTAGCTGGGACGTATGGCAGCCAACTCAGATCAGCACCCACACAGGCGGCCCATCTCTGTTTGACCGCCAGCCCACCTATGTTGCACAGCTAGGTCACCTCTTCCTCCCCTGCTTGTTGCTGTCATCTGTTGACCCCTTACAATCCTCCTCCCAGCCTGCCCCAGGCACTGTTTTGAGTGACTTCAAAATCTCGGCAGCTTAGTCCTGTTACGGGTGGCGTCTCTGAGAAACTGGCCATCTGGTCTCTCAGTGTCTGGTAAGATGCAGGAACGTGCAGCAACTGTTGTGGCCCAGTTAGTTGCACCTGGTGAAGAGGCAGGCACTCCAGCAGGTCAGGAGGGTAGAAAGGTGCCTGAGTTTGCAGAGGAGGGGATGAGTGGGTCTCAGGTTTGGTGGACTTCCCGCTCTGCACAAACGGGGCTGCCGGCAGCTGTGTGAGCCTTTGAGGACTTCTAGGGCAGTGCGACTCAAACTTTAGTGAGCACAGGAATCACCTGGAGGTCTTGTGAATATGCAGATTCTCATTCGGTGGATCTAGAGCAGGGCTTGGGAGTCTGCGTTTCTCATAAACTCCCAGGTCAAGCTGATGCTCTGGGCTAGGACCACGCTTTGTGCAGGGGGCCTGGAGGGAGGCCAGGATATGGTGCCTGTGGTTAGAGCACATGCTG